AAATGCTGTCTGCACTCACCAGGAGCTTGGGCTCATGGCTCTGCCAAAGCAGAAAGGAGCCGGAGATCTGAGCCCAGAAAATCCAATGGGTGCACACCCCCTAAACTGACTCCTCACAGATATTAGCCTCTCTTGCCTTTCTTATTAGGCCCTCCAGTCAGACTGGCTGCAGCAGCAGTTGGGCCAACCTACCTAGAGCTAAAGAAGACGGCAGGCTTATGAGTGAGTCGGCTCGCTGAGTGTGAGGAGCACATGTGATGAAGCATCAGCCCACAAGCAACAGGTTGGAATAAGTGAATTCAGCAAGAGGGTGAAAAGGTCAGGCCTCTCTTCTTCTAGTCAGGAGATGTAAACTGCAAATTAACTCAAAGTACATCCACCACCTTCTCCTAGTTAAGGAAATAAAATAAAAAGCCACAATCTCCTAGGTTTTCCAGGAGAATAAACCCAGTAATAACAATAAAACTGTTAGGAAGGTAGAAAGCCGGCAGGGGTTTGGGGGGCTGTCCACTGCATTGCACTGAGTGCCATGTGTATGACTATCAACCAACTGGACAGAGGGAGCTAATAATGTGTGCTTGGTGTAATGACCTCCTCACTCTCATTGAACTCAGGTGTTCCCTTGAAGCCAAGGCTGCTGATCAGGAGTAGCAATTAGAAACAAACAGGTTGTCTGGTGAGACCATCAGGGAATAATTCCTGGGTGAGAGCTCCTTAGCTGTCAAGAAAAATGGGACACTCAGGGAAAAAGCATCATTCTGAAGATGAGGGAAATGATTCTTCAGAGGGACCCATTATTGAACCAAGAACTGTACAGAGGAGAGGAAGGGGGCTTTTGTTAGTAAGAGACTAAATAATGAGAAATACAGATAACTGGGTTTGTAATGGGTATGCAGACTGCATGGTCTATTGTCTGTCTGGTGCAAAGGATGTGGATATCACATACTATCTAGATAATCTTAAAGACAGTGTGGGGGTGTGTTCAGTGATAGTGGTCCATGGTGGTACCAGTGATGTAGGAAAAAGTAGTCATGAAATCCTGAAAGCCAAATGTTGTATGCTAGGTAGGTTAAAATCCAGGACCACCAAGGTCACTTTTTCTGAAATGTTACCTGTTCTATGCACAGGGCTGCTAGACAGGCACAATGAGCTGAGGAATCTCACTGCAGAAGGGAAGGTAGTCTAGAAAGGAGGGGTTCAGGTCTGTTAGGCAGTAGGGAACATATTAGGTCAAGCCAGGTGGGGTGGATTCCACCTGAAACAAAATGGAACAAGAATGCTGGAACATAACATTAAAAAGGGGACAGAACAGTTTTTAAACTGAACCCTAGATGAAAGCTGACAAGAACTGGGATACATCCCTAGTGGATGAAAGGAAAAGGTTTCTGATTGCCCAAATGTAGGAGGGGAAGAAATAAAGCATACGGAGAGCCATAATAACTAGTTTGACAGGCCTAAGTGCCAAAACATGTTGTAAGCATCTGAAAAGAGACGCTGCCCTTAGGTGCTTCTACGCAAAAGATAGAAGCCTCAGAGCCAAAACTGGAAAGCTGAAATGCCTGGTTTTAAAGGAGACGTTCAACATAGTAGGAACTATAGAAACCTGGTGGAATGGAGAGAACCAATGCGACAGGGTTATCTCTGGATAGAAACTGTAGAGAAAGGGTAGAGAAAGGCATACTGGAGGAAGTGTTGCTCTCTACATCAAAGAGGGCATAGAATTCAGCAGACTTGAATAATTAAAATGTGTAGACTCCTTAGCAAAAGCATTGTGGATGACAGCCCCAGTTCCAGAACTAATTCGGCCATAGGAATATGCTATTGTCCTGTAGACCAGAATGCTTAGGGTGATCTTGAGAGGGTAAATGAAATCAGGGAGACCTCAAACAAAGGCAGTGCTGTAATAATGGATGACTATCCAAACGTTGACAGGATGAATATATGTTCCAGTTCTGACAGAGAGGTTTTTCAGTGTTTGAAATGGTCATAAAACCTATCTGAAGGGAGGCAATCCTGAATTTAATCCTAGGCAGGACTGCCCAGAGATAGTGCAGGATGTAAATTGTGCAACCAACTGAACACAGTGACTACAGCACCATCACATTTAATATAAAGTTGGGTGGAAGATTGCTAAAAAGGTCTAGCAGAGTTGCATTTGACTTCTCTGCCCAGATGGTATCCATTCTAGAATTCTTAAAGAGCTCAAATATAAAATTACCAAGTTTCTTACAAAAATATGTAATGTGTCCTTAAGTTCAGCCTCTGTACCTGAGGTCTGGAGAAATGTCCAATGTAGCATCATTTTTTAAAAAAAGAATCTGGGGGCAGGGGGCTCTAGGGAATTACAAGCCAGTTTGTTTAATTTATTTTAATTTTATATGCCACCCCATTTCTATAGGCTCTGGGCAGTTTACAAGATATTAAAACCAAGAGTGATTAAATTGACTAAAAACATGTTAAATAAACTGATACTAATCTGGGAAGGCCTGTTGGAAGAGGTATGTCTTTTACTCCCACTTAAAAGAGGAAATCTGAGATCTCAGATGCATCTCTCCTGGCAGACCATTCCAGATCTTAGGGGCAACCACTGAGAAAGTCCTCTTGTTGACATTAATCTTACAGAAGCACTGTAGAAGATTATCCCCAAAGGACCTTAGCTGGCGAGATGGAATGTATGGGCAAAGGCACACCAGAAGGTATTTTGCACCCAAGCCATGAAGCACTTTACCAACACCTTGTACTTTATCCAGAAATGTACTGGAAGCCAGGGCAAATACTTTAAAATAGGTGATATGTGGTCCCTCCATGATGTGCCAGAGACCAGTCTGGCTGCCATATTTTGTACTAGCTGCAGTTTCTGGAATAGGCACTAGGGTGACCCTATGTAGAGTGCATTGCAGAAATCAAGCCTAGACGTTACCAACGTATGTCCTACTATTTTCAGGTCATTTTCCTCCAGGAAGGGATCCAGCTGGCAAATCTGCCCAAACTGACAGCAGGCATTCTTGACACACCTTCTATCTGAGTTGACATCTGAAGTGCCAGGTCAAGTAGCTCCTCCAAACTGCAAGTACAGCCCTTCGGGGGGGGGGGGTGACCCATCTAGAACTAGTTGACACACCTCTAAATCTGGATTTGGCCCCATGTCCTTTTTACATCTGTTCTCGGTAATTTAGTTGAAAGCGTTATTATAAGTGGAATCAATAAGCACATAGAAGGACAATCACTGCCGAGAAAGAAACAACATGGCTTCAGCAAAGTTAAGTCCTGTCCCACTAACCTCTGAGAGCTCTTTGAAAGCATCAACAGGCATGTGGACAGGGGAAATTTAGTAAACACCAGACTTCCAAAATGCCTTTGACAAAGCCCCACATCAAGGACTTAGCTGTCATGAAAAAGGGCGGCGGGGGGGGGGGGATCCTCCTTTGAATCAGTAACTGATAAAAGAACAGAGGGCAGAGAATGGAGATAGATGGTAATTTCTCCCAATGGAGGGATATAGCCAATAGGTACCAGTAGTCTGTATGTCCAATGCTTTTCAACCTATTCAGTAATAATAATAATCATTAATAATAATAAGCAGTGAAGTGCTGAATTTGTTGATGACACCAAATTATTTAGTGTAGTTAAAACCAAAAGGGGTTGTGAAGCATTCCAAAGTGATTTCTCTAAGTTGAGAGAATGAGCTTCAAAATGGCAAATATATTTCAATATAAGCAAGTGTAAAGAAATGCATATTGGGGCAAAAAATCCCAACTTCAACTATATGCTGATGAGATTTGAACTAGTAGTGATTGATTAAGAAAGGGATCTTGAGGTTGTTATGGAGAGTTCTGCTTGCCAAAACTGGAAAAGGACATTTTTAGGTTGGAAAAAGTGCAGAGAGAACACTAAAAAAACTCAAGGAGTTGGAAGAGCTCCCCTTTGAGGAATGGTTACAAGTGGCATCTTTAGTTTAAAGCTAGGCATGGTATGGAGGAAATAAAGAGGGAGACATTTTTCTTCCTTTCCCATAATACTACAATCTGGAGTCACCCCATGAAACAGATTAGTGGAAGATTCAGGACAGATAAAAGGAAACACTTCTTCACACAGGGCATAAACTCTGGAAATCACTGCCACAAGAAGTAGTGAAGGCCACCAATCTGGATGGCTTTAAAGTGGGCTTTGAGAAGGCTATCAATGATGACTACTCTTCCTAGTTGTGTGTTACTTCTGTTATTAGAGAGGATATGCCTATATACACCAGTTTTTGAGAAGCTTGGGCATATGGAACTCTTGTACCCATCCTGCTTGAGGGATCCTGTGGGAAGTTGGTTTGCCACCATGTGAACAGAGTGCTCAACTGGATGGACAACTGGTCTGATTCAGCATGGCTTTTTTTATGGTCTTTTGTTCCAAAGCTTGTCCAAAATCCTGCAACCAGATGTTTAATTGGAGCAGGTTATAAGGGATAAGTGAGTCCATTCTTACCATGACACTGGCTTCCAGTGAGTATGAGCCCAATTCAAAATACTGGTTTTGACTTTTAAAGTCCTAAACAGCTTAGGATCAAGTTAACTCCAAAATGAGCTCATCTGGTCATTAAGATCTTGCAAGTGTGACTTTCTGCTTACTGTCTTCTTCTCAAGAAGATTTGGAAAGAAGATGAAATATGATCTCTTCAGTCACCACATCCAGACTTTGGGATTCATTTCATCTCTTTCCTTTACCAGGCAGAGAAACCAAGTGGATTTCTACAGGATGAAAGTTCCTTCCTCCATACTCAGCATAGAAATGTAGCAATCTTCTGCTAGCCTGCTCAGTTATTTATTATTTTTAGGCTAGTAACTTTGCAGGAAGCTTATTTGCAAGCATACTTTAACACTATAAATGATAATCTTTTTCTTTACTTTCTATTTTGGAATCAATGTCGAACATTAAGTAGTTAGAAGTACTTAAAACAGACAAACCCCAAGCATCTTCTTAGCATTATGCATCCCCATGGGAAAATAGATTACCTCCATGGAAATCCGCCTGTGTATCCGGTTTCTGAGGCAAACACCTGTAGGTGACTGGACTTCATCGGATGATGTTCCAGAAGCTTGATCACTTTCACCATCTGATCCCATTTTCAGATTTTCATGTACAATGTCTAAATTAAACAAAGTTATTAATTACTCTACTGATTTTCAATTAAGAAAAGCTCTCAGTCTTAATTGCTCACAAAAAGCACTAGAGCAAACTAAATGGTACTTTTTTATCATTAAGATTGTGTCCATCACATGATTAGCACATTCCAAACAGAGAATGATGCTAGTTTGATACAACTTTTTTTAGTCCAAAATACTTTATTCAGTTTCTATTTTTAATTAGTATCTTTTCCATTTGAAATCAGCCTTTTAATATACAAATAAGGTAGTAATAAAAAGCAGAACCATGCAGAGTCAAAATATTCTAGAAATATATAGAGTTATAATGTTATATAGGAAACTTTAAAGGAAGGATCCATTTAAGACCTATGGGAAAAATATGCTTGGTCAATTATCAGGTTTTAACCCCACTCACATTATTTATCTGTAATGTCACTCTTACCAGGGAGAATAAGAAATGTCCATTTAAATTAAAAATGATTAGTTTATTATAAAAGAGCCTCCTGCTGGTATCTTCTAATGGAAGAAATGTGAATAGGCTGTTCCTCTCAGGAAACAAAAATTGACCAAGGATCTGAAAAGTAACAAGCTACACTTTGAATAAGATTGTAGACTAGAGAGCTTTATCTGGTCAGTCTGGAAAAAGTTAAGTGGTATGTCTTATCTGAGCAAACGTTCACAGTATTCAACATAGTGAAGAACTTTTCAAAACAGAAAAGTATACATTTAAGTAGTCTTCAGCTGTGATTCCAAGCCACATGAACTCAACAAGATTTACTTCTATGTAGACATGCACAGCATGATGCTGTAAATACAATAATAAACTTAATTTCAAAAGTTCTGTTAGAAATAAACCTCCAACAAAACCATGTGTTCTGCAATAAATGAACCAGCAACACAATATGGAAATTCATGTATATTCTTGATTTTAATAAAAGCTAAGCTCCTTTAGTATGTGATAATGAAAGCCCTATTTACTTTGTAGGCAAACTGTACAGAATCAATGGGTCAGAGAAATCATATCATATACAACTTCACATGGAAGAGCTACTACGTATGTGCATAAATCATAAGAACATAAGAGCAGCAATGCCGGATCAGAGCAAAACCAATTTAGTCCAACATTCTGTTTGTAGAATGGCCAATCAGATGTCTGTGGGAAGCCTGGAAGCAGGATACAAGGGCAATAGTCTTTTCCTGTTGTTGTTTCCCAGGGAATGGAATTCAGAGACATAATGCCTCTGATCCCAGAGGTACCATATAGCAATTATGAATAGCAGTCAATGAAAGCCTTATTCTGCTTGGGTTTGTCTAATCCCCTTTTAACATCAGTCTAGATGAGTGGTGGCAAACCTATGGCACGTGTGCCACAGCAGGCACACAGAGCCCTCTCTGTTGGCACGCGAGCCAAGTCACCCCAGCATCACCCCAGCAGCCGAGCATCGGATAACAGCATACATACGGGCCATGCGCATGCTTGGAAAGGAGTAGTGGTGCCAGGCGATGACATCACAAGCCATGATTATTAGCCGCAACTCGTCCGAGCTTTCACGTGGCCAGTCAGTGTACTGCCAAGGATATATATATATCTGGAAGCTCAGGTGACAGCGGCGGCGAGGAGCGCTTTCTTTCAGCTTCGGCTGATCCATCAGCTGCGCCCCTACCTGGAGAACGACTGCCTGGCGACAGTGACACACGCATTGGTGACTTCCCCACTTGACTTCTGTAATGCGCTCTACGTGGGGCTGCCCTTGAAGACGGTCCAGATACTTCAATTGGTTCAAAATAGAGCTGCCAGGCTGCTGACGGGGACTGGGCGTTATGTTCACATGACTCCAGTCCTCCGTCAGCTTCACTGGCTTCCCATTGAAGTCCGGGCCCAATTCAAGGTGTCGGTGATGACCTATAAAGCCCTTAATGGCTTGGATCCTGGTTACCTGAAGGAGCGTTTACGTCCATATATGCCCGCCCACCCCTTGAGATCAGCAGGAGAGGCCCTTCTCCGGGAGCCCTCCGTGAAGGACATTAGGAGGGTAAGTACTCAGAAGAGGGATTTCTCTGCGGTGGCGCCCAATCTATGGAATGCACTCCCCAGAGAGGTCCGCCTGGCGCTGTCGTTGTTTTTCGGCGCCAGGCAAAGACCTTTTTATTCAAATGTTATTTTAATGGTTAATATTATTTATTAATTTTATTCTTTGGGCAGGGCGACTGAATTTATATTGTTAATTTATATTGTTTTATTGAATTCTATTTATTTATGGTTTGTGAGCCGCCCCGAGGCTTCGGCGAATGGGGCAGCATAGAAGCCCCCTAAATAAATAAATAAATAAATAAATAAATAAATAAATAAATAAATAAATAAATAAATGCTTGTTTTTTCTAAACTAAACCCTGAGTTTTCAGGTTTTATTGCAGTGTTGGCACTTTGCAATAAATAAGTGGGTTTTGGGTTGCAGTTTGGGCACTTTGTCTCTAAAAGTTAACCATCACTGAGTTAGGGTTAGAAAAACAAGGTGTCCTGCCATGAGTTTGATGGTTGGAATGTGTTTAGAATGAGCAGAAATGTTGAGTTGTGCAGGAAAAAAGCTACTCAAGGAAGTGTTTTTCAAAATCACATTATTTTCAATGCTATTTTACCCCTATATTAAGGTTAGGGGTGTGCACCAGGGTAGGGTTAGGGTTAGAAAAACGAGATGTCCTGGCATGATTTTGATGGTTGGAATTTGTTTAGAATGGGCAGAAACGATGAGCTGTGCAGAAAAAGCTACTCAAAGAAGGCTTTTTCATAATATTCCTATTTTCAAGGAACTTTAGCCCTATATTAGGGTTAGGAGAGTACACCACAGTAGGGTTAGGCCAGTGGTGGTGAACTTATGGCACGCGTGCCATGGCGGGCACACAGAGCCCTCTCTTTCATCATGCAAGCCAAGTTATCCCAGCATTGCCCCAGTACCTGAGCATCGGATAACAGTGCACACAGGGGCCATGCACACGCTTGGAAAGGAGTAGCGGAACCAGGTGATGACATCACAAGCCGCGACACATTAGCCACTACTTGTCCAAGCTTTCGCATGGCCGGTCAGTGTGCTGCCAAGGATATATATATATATACACACTTGCTTGGACTGGCTGTGAGGTGTTTTTTCTAAACTAAAACCTGAGTTTTCAGGTTTTATTGTAGTGTTGGCACTTTGAGATAAATTAATGGGTTTTGGGTTGCAGTTTGGGCACTTGGTCTCTAAAAAGTTCACCATCGCCGGTCTAGACCATTACATTAACTGTATTGAACTATGTACTGTGTGTAGTAGTAGTACTTCCTTTTGGCTGGCCTCAATCTCCTAATATGCAGCTTTTTCAGATGATCCCAGTTTGTAGTATCCAAAAATGAAGAAAATCTATCTACTTTTTCCATGTTGTGGTTAATTTTATATACCTCTATCATCTTTTCCTTTCTTGCTTTTTCCCCCAGGCTAAGTAGCCCCAAATGCAGTATGTGGAAGCACATGCCTAAATGCATCACTTACAAATCACACCCAGCAAATGGTTGCTCAGATTTAACAGCGATGCCACCACATGCTGATACTACAGGCCAGTGTCCCATGCGTGTAGCCCTAAGTATTTACTGTCTGACTTCATTACGGAAGTATTAACTGATTTTATGCCACAATAACAGCAGATAACTAAAGGAAGGAAACTTGAGGTCTATAGTGGTGAGGCCCTTGCTTTATACATTAATATATATGATCAATGATTCAGTAAAAGCCTGCTAATGTAAGAATTTCCACAAATTTTCTTGATATATTCTAGTACACTCAATTACGGCTTAGAAGTATTTTTCTAGCATTTTGCCTAAACAGAATGAAACCTAGGTATAAACTGTATAAATGAAGACTTATATAACAAAATATTTGCTTATGTATTACTATATACATACTACTTGAATTATATGACAAATTCATGATAAAGAAAGTTGAGGCAGTAGTGGAGAATCTGCAGCATTACTGTGGTCTCAAAGCAGTTGACATCAGATAACAAGGCTGATATGCAAGTCACTCATTTTTTATGAGTACAAAAGATTCTTCTGTGAGTAATGGCATCCATCTTGGCAATTACAGTTCTGAAGCCTCTAATTCAGCAGAAGTTAAGTATAATGACTGCTGTTGTTTGCTAAGCTGTACTTGCTTCTCTTTGCAGATTTTTTTTTCTAGTCCTAGATAGGATTTTTCTTGTTCTTACTTAAAACTAAAACAAAATGCATTTTTAAAAAAATTAATAAGAAGTCCTACATACTAGAAGTTGATCAAATTATGCAAAAATGTGTTACTCGTATGTATTTAACACAACTGACTGGGAGAATGAGTGCCAGTTGCTAGAAAGGGGCCATACAAACTCCAAGTCCCCCTCTGCTTATCAGGCGAAACAGCACTTGGTTCAAAGGCAAAAAAAAAAAAAAAAAAAAAAAATCTATATCATGAGCTTATTGACATAAAATTATACCTCTGGGAAAGCTAATTCACATCACCAGACACAAAGAACAGGCAAATCTGCCAGTTAATTTCTCTTTGAAAATGGAGGACAATAAACTCATGAATATTTAAGTGATATTCCAAGGACTCATTAACATAAAAGCATGTAATTGCCTTAGACAACAGAGTAATTGCAGAAGGATAGATCACTGACTTAGGAAAGAGAATGTAAGGAATTGATTGGTTAAGAATCTTGTGCAAATGATGGGCACAGATGTCATCACTAGCCAATAAGCTTACATCAGCCTGTATTATCCGTTCTTAGCCAATATTACCATTTTCTTTAATTTAGAATAGGCAGTTTCACATGTTTTATCATGAGAACTCACTAGTGACAGTCTGCCCTCATTCTGGATCCCTTCAGCCACCAAAATTGTTACTATTATCTCAAGCCAACACACAATTTCAGAAAGGAGTCCACTGGGAGATGACAACAAATGCAATTTCCATTTATAATGAAAAATGCACAAATGAATGTATATTCTATATATTTTATGACCTACTGGTGTTTCACTTCTGAAGGATGCAAACCCTGTTTTGTTTGTCACACACAATGATATTGTTTCTGTTCTGCCTTGAAGTATGGGGTTTTTAAAGCCCTATTCAAGCATTCGCTCACATGATGAAGAAGCACATGAATGTTCATCTAAATAGTATAGCCTCTTCCAAATCCATTATTTACAAACAGTACCAAATAACATTTTTAGCAAAGATAAAATGCTAGAATCAGTATGACTGCCAATCTACTCAAAGACAACTGACATATTAACACTTTAGCTTCTCTTTTGGGATTCACAATTGTAGGATGCCATCCTATTAAACTGGCATCCATCACTTGTGCAAGTTCTCATTTACACAGTTTTACGTTCATGTTTGTGACCAATCTACATAGCTTCAGCTATTGAGCAGTATACAAAAGTAATAAATTAATGAAAACAAAAATGAAATGAAATTCTAAGACACATTTGACTTCCAGTAGTGGATGTCTTTTCAATATGCTTATCAAAGGTATAGAATTATTAATTCTTTAACATTTCTAAGACTCTGGTACAAATATTACATTACTGTTACCCTTGGTGAAGGGGAGAAAACCAAAGAATAACCTATTTACTGAACAAATTGATGCTATAAGAACAAATTACCTAGTCTGCTCCCATTCCTTGGCATTGCCATAAATGAACCAAGGCTGCCACCTATAACACTGTGTGGTCGTCGCAATGGAGGCTTTTTGAAGGATCCCGTGTACTGGTGCAGGAATGAGTGCATGCTGTGAGATGTTGGAGGTCTGCCATTCTTCACAATAGGCTCTAAAGTTTGCCAGCATCGATCAATTCATCCCACAAGCAGGACATTCAGGAACATGTGGAGAGAAAAAAGAACAGAGTTACCACACAGTCCACTTACATCAATATTTAAATGAGTTTCAGAACTCTTAAAATCTGGGGAGGGATCATTGGTGAAGCATGTGGCATGAAAGAAATGTACAAGAAAAATGCTGCTCTTCTCCCATCCCCCTATATGTGCTCAGGCTGAGCATCAGAAACCCCCAGTCACAGCCTAGGACCATGCACTGACCACTGCCGGTGTTTATAGACAAGGCTTGTCCTTGTGCAATGGAACTGCCTCACTGAGAGGCAGAGTGATGTAGGGATGCATTTTCTCACCACTTCTTTTTGTCTTTTTTCTGTTACCAGAAAAAACATGTGCTGAGGATGAAAATAGGGAAGGTGTACATGCTGTCTCTTGGTTGGTACCACTGGAGCCCTCTGCCTGGAAGTACCCAGTAAGTGCTACAAGAGATGTAGTAATAATTTCACCAAAATATTTGTACAAAGGCCAGTACTTCTGGTTTATTATAAGAGAGAAAACACAATGCAGCATTAAACTGCTTTCAGTCTGTGCCCAGTATGCTCTAGGTAGGTCAAAGGAGTGGCTTTCTAGAGAATGAGCAAAGGAGAACTCAGCTCAAGAATAGCCTTTGGGTGGGTGAATAAGAAAGAGTCCTTTGATAAAAGCATCTTTTCAGTCTTCTTTCTATGCCTTTGAATCCCAAAAGACACAAGAACAGATAGAAACAAGGAAGATAACCCCTATCCTCTGACTCTTCCCTAGCAAGACAAAGAAGTCTGAGAATGCTATCACAACTATGTGTTTACTATGATTCCTTAGAAAGAAAAGGATTAGCTTTCAGAGAGATATTTACGAGGATATGAAGCATGTTTCTAGCCATTAAGGCTGTGAAGGGGTAAATGGAAGAAAGTGAGAAATGCCTGCTAACATCTCAGATATCAGAGGTGGTTGATAAGTTATGGACTTATAAGATCTTTGCCTGTCTAGAAACATAAATTATCTGGGTTGTATCTATTGATATCTTTCCACTGGTGGAATCCACAGTTGTATGCAGTTGGCATCCACATTAATTTCTGTTCAACTTCTCAGCTAATTACAGGCAAAACAAGGGATAGGATTTGGAAGAGAGAAACATCTTATTACACACAGCTGCAAGATGTGGCCCTGAGCCAGGGTCTGATTTATTATTGGAGAAAACTGTCATAGGATTCAAGCAGGTGAAGAAGGTGGCTTAGAGGTGATTCCTAGTTGCAGTATCAGCCCAAGACCAACTGTTTATGGGTCAAATGCAGTAGCTGGAACATAATGATTAATTAGCTTAGAAAGCATTCCAGTTATAAGCTGATACCAGCAAGAAGTCTTGCTCTTTTCAATAGCTTTGATTGCCTAGAAATCTTCTTTCTCATCTGCAATGGCCTTTCCTAAATACCTTCTGCCGGGTCTGTTCATGTTCTCAGAGAATCTTGTAACATGAAAACAGCAACATGGCAACAGATGCTGCACAAAAAATCTGGGAGTTTGTTTGGCTCTCTGGCATGGAACAGCCACTCTGCCTATTATATTTTTTGCATGCACTTTCTATCAACTGGACTACCAAAATGCTCTCTTCCCTGGACTCAAAGTTCAACTTTGGACCCTTATCCTTTCCTTATTAACATGCACTGTAGTATTTTCTGCCATGAACTAAGTACCTTTACTTTATCCAGAATGCTTTATGATCTTGTCTATTGGGTTGTTTTGTCTTGACACCCATACAGCAGAGTTCCAAGAGCTGTTGTTGGACCTGATCAGTGCTGGTGCGTGTACATTTCTAACCTTATCTCATTTAGTCCTGTCTTCTGGACCAGGTCCTACCAGGGGCCCTTTTCAGTAGAACCCCTGATGAAATCTCTCTGCTATTCAGTATTCCTTTAGCTAGGTCTTCCTGTCTGCAGTGCTTGAACTCCCAAGGCGGTCTCAAGCTGACACACCCTCTTTCCAATTAGCTTGCTTCCAGACGGCTTTAAGACCAGTCAAACAATATCATGCAGCCATTCCATCTTAATGGATGTTGTGCAACTACTCTTTCTGAACAGGTATTTTTGTGGAAATAAAAAAAGAGAGAACAAGCCATGAGAAAATGTGGAAGGTCTAAAACTGGAAACCAACTTTGCCTGCCCTTCCCTATAAAATTCCTTGAATGATGCAAGGCAATCGCACAATAAAAGCTTTGTCTGTAATTATGTAGTGATAAAGTTTGAAGTGCAAGTGCTGATCATGGCAGTCTCCATAGTGACAGCCCAATGGAGAGTCCAAAATTCAGGTAGCTGTTTTGAAAAATATGTGTGCACGTGTATGTTTGTGCATGTGTGTGCACACATGCCCATTTATGCATGAAGTAACTCACAATAATCTACTGTTGCAAATTCCATTCTGCCACTTCTAGCTATTTTGGGGATTGCAACTAAAGTGCAAGGAGAATAGGGAAATCTAAGGGGGATGGCAGATGACATCATCATGCCTGTTAAGTGAAACATCCCAGAGCTTCAAACATGTGAGCCCTGGCTCCACTACACCACTGCTTCTCTGGAAGCATCCTTAGACAAAACAGTTCAAGAATGGCTTAGTTACTCTTACCCTTACAAACACCTTGCACCTTACATTTATATCCCAACTTTCTTCCAAGATGGAACTCAAGTTGTTGGATATGGATTCCTAGCCTCCCTTCCAGACCCTGAATAGAATCCTGGCCTGCTCTTAACTTCAGCAAGCTATGCTGTCTACATATGGTTTGAGACTATGCCCTGGTTACCCATAACATTTTAAAATAAGGCTATTGCTCCAAACTTTAAAATGTCCAAAGAACTAGAAATGAAACCACTTCATAAATGATTTAACTCCCTGGTTCATACTTAGTAAGTTTCTTATGATGGAATAATTTTACTACTTTCCCACAGATCCCACAAAAGGCTAGATTTTATGTTTTCTGGATTCTAGCCATCAAAGGCAATGGTAAGCAAGTTATTTCTGGTTGACAAGAAGCTCTGAGGTGGGTTTTCTTAGAAAATGCTGACCATAACAGGATATTCCAGCCCTATGAAGGAGGCAGGAGCCTATGCATAATTTGAATCTGTTCAGATGAAAGATTAAATGTTCTAGGATTCATAAATTCAAGATGATTCAAGATAATCCACTGTTTAAACTGGGATGCTTAAATTAATAACAATAACAAAAATAAGAATTTGTGGAAAGGGAAACTGATCAGGTAATACTCTTTGCACCTTCTTCATAACAGAGAGATAGTGGAAGCAGCAGAAACCAGAGATTCCAGAAGAACAAAAATATTCTCACTCAATGCAGCATGAAGTGGTTGCTTAGGAACAAGATTGGAAAGCATTTGATATAGCAAGATGTTGAAACAAACCCTCTGGCAGTCAGAGAAACTCTCTATTGATATATTCAGACTCTTTGTTGCAGTCATATGGAGTATGTAGCTATATCATGTTTGTAGCCAATGGCTCACTTTGGAAGGAGATGCAATGGCAATGGCAAGTCTTTGCTGCATATTCTGCCATGACGGGAGTCAATACTGCAAGAACTATAGGCAGGCTTCAAGGCAAATTGGGAGTGGAAAGCTTACCCTTATTGGCATCACAAGAGAAATAGCAATGATCTTGCTGATAAAGAACCTTAAACATTTTTAAGGTTCCTATAAGTGTATAATACCCAAGAATCAGAATAAGAGAGACCCACATGCCTGCAATGCTGGTACAGTAAGTTCTGCAATGCTCCATGGGAGGCTGATCTGGGCCACCTAGCTCCTTGTTTAAATCAGGCCTGACAACCTTGCAGCACATCTGCTATGACTGTATTACAAGGAAATGTATTAATTTGGAACAGTTCTTCATACACTTATACTTGAGGTTTATTTTGTACAAAAGAAAGCATCCTATTTCCCCAATTGTGTAAAGATTATTTTACCTTTCAAGTTCTGCTACGTAAACAAACTTGGTCTTCCTATGACTTTCAAAAGCAAGCTGCTACTCTAAATGCTGCTTCCAGATGTCAACCTGAATTACATACAACTTTACTCAGCACAGAGCTAATATGAAGTACATGAGCAACATGTAACCACTTTGCAACTGCAGGTAGACATTTGCCCCAGAAAACTAGGGAAATATTGCTCTGGGCCATTCTATGTTTCTCAATAAGGAAGTGTATTCAAACATATGTCATCAGCCCAAATTCATCTCTGTGTTAAGCAAAAAGGCAGCTAAGTTGGATTGTTTGCACATTTTAAATCAACTGTTCTAAAAAGTCTTAAAATGTGATGTTGAATGCATTTGATTTAGGTTGTTGTCTTCTTTTAAAGGACAGTTTCGAATTCAGCGATAGCACTAAGGCAAATTATGCTGTGTTAGTGTAAGTGACCTCAAGTACAACACCCGGAACACCTGTTATATCAATAAAGGCTATGGGCACTGTGCTAGAGGTTATTTATGCTAGCGAACGTAACTAGCACTGGCACAGAATTGGCCTTTTCCCAAGTATATAAAAACACAGGTTCATTGGAAATAGGAACTATTCTGTTCCAATTGGGCATTGTTATTTTTGTTACATTGTCCCCAGACCTTACATTTATGATTCCTCTAGTTTATTGTCTAAATTTCTGTTACCAACTGATAAGGCTTTGATGTAGCAATGGGGACGGCATATAAAAACTTTAAATAAATAAATAAATGCCATATACTGATTTGTTGGCCCTAAGATTCCCTATCCATTTTCTATCAGCGATTCCTTAGTTTGAAAGTTGGTTAGTTGGTTTTCTCTTGCTAATATAGGCTGAAATATGATGGCCTGATCAGTCTATCTCACCTTATCTTATTTTATCTAAGTCATCTATTCATCAACCTCAATTATTAAGCACTGAACCTGTATTTATTAGTCGATTATGCTGAGTTTCAATAAATGTGAAGTTCTGAGTCACAGAGAAGTGGACTGCAAGTGAGTTTAATTCCCTGGATAGATGCACAGCCTCACATGCATTGTGGCTAGAATGGGAACCACTTTGTGCTTTGAATGATGACCACCATTTTAAGAACTGTGATTCTACTTTGTGGTCATCAACTCAGCACTACCATAAAGCCTAAATTTAACTGAGATTGGAAGCAAGGACTGAGTAATGAGCCATCAGTTAATTAAATAATAGGAGAAAATTATTTCAACTCTGTTGAAATAATTTGGGTTTCCTTTAGTTACATGGGAATTTACCATTCTGCAGTAGTAATCTCAAATCCTGAATTTGCTTGGCAGATGCAGAAATTATTACCTTTGTGCCTTACTATTTACTTGCTGCACTTTGCACTCTCCCTGCTTCACTTTCCCCTTCCTACACACTGTTCCACGCACATAACACACACAAACAGAATGTTCTCTCCCCTTCTGCTGTGATTTGTTCTTCTTCCCCGAAGGCTTTTAGCTCCATTATACATATAGTTGCTTAAAAAACAAATGCTAGCAGGAGGATTTGGTTCTTAAAGGCAGGAGGTGACGGTTTTAACCATGACTTTATAAATGTGTGTTATACAAGAGCATTAAACATAAGAACTGAATTTCCTTACTGTCTTTTGCACAGCAAGACAAGCACACATGGTGTCCAGAATTTTGCAGTCTAATAGCATGAAATAATAATATATTATTCATTCTAAAATTGCTTGCAAAAGGGAAAGATGCATATGAACAAGGAGGAATATTCTGCTTCGAATGCATATATGTATTAACTAAGTGCTACATCCCTTCCTGGCTCTCTTTTAGGGTAAAGTGAGGTTTTCTGAAGCAACTGCCATTTGGATGATGAACTGTGCAAGGTGACTCTTTCTCAGCCTCAACAATGACCTTTACTATGATGCAACTTTGCACTTTGTCTATGCACTCCAGCCCACATAAATATGAACTGTGACTGCTACTGCAAGAACTAATTTGCACACCATTGAGGGTATTTAAGTACAGGCAGAATTTTGCTGAAGTTTTTCCACTGGCAGAGGAAATTTCAACAAAAGAATTGGTTGGCAAGGTAGGTTCTTTTATTTGCAAATAAATTCTTCTTTCTGAATCCAGAGCAGGGTGGAGAGAGGTATCTAGGATATTGAACTGGCAGGGAATAGGATTCCAGTGTCATGCACAACTCATCTCATCCGCTTCACCCCACCACAAGACAGACTGAAAAAGGATAATTATATATGAATCTGTCCTATCTATCTATCTATCTATCTATCTATCTATCTTATATCTATTTGTCTATTGACTCCAGAAAGTAGATCTCAAGAAGTTCTGGACATGAACTCCCAGCATTCCTGACTACTGGCCACTCGTACAGGGGCTTCTGGAATTAAGCAGCAACCATTTGGAGAGCGATCTGCTGCCAAATGCCTCATTTAAGCTATTTATGAACTGCCTAGACCACAATTCCATCTTACCTAGCATTGATTACCTACACCAGATTTCCAGGACCTCTGGCAGAAGTCTCTCCCAGTTCTGCAACTTGAAATCCATTAACTGGACCTACCCTCCAGATGTGTTGAACTACCACTCCCATAATTCCTAGACACCATGGTCACTGGGAGTTTATAGGACTTGCAGTTCAACACATCTGGAGGGCACATCTGGAGTTGAGAACGCTGTTTTAACTAGTTCTATGCAAGGAACAGGGACTGGGGCATTGTCATGAGAGACACAACCTCTGCCCCTGGGTTTTGCCCAAATTCTGCAATCCAAAGAGAAGTTAGGGAAACAAGCATGATTTTCCTAGATCAGAAATTCATTTTTCTTTGTGGAGAATCTGATTTACTTCTGCACAAAACTTTGAAACACCGAAACATTGCTAGCAGTTATATCATGGTCATACAGCAACATTTCCATCAATCAGGCTGATATTGAGCTGGTCATGCAAATTGTTCAGTGCTTCAGTGTTCAGTTCAAATTGTCCAAGATGCTGATACCTTAGTTTCCATTTTCTAAGCAAAATGGTTTATGTACTGAAATTGAGGAAGAAGCAAGAAACTGAGATCAAGACTTTACATGAAAGTGAATCCCGTAACTGAAAAGATAAATCTAACTGCTACTCCTAAAAAAAAGTACAGAAGTAGTAATACTATCAGTAATTATGAATTTTGTTTCTACAGTGCAATGCATTTAACTAATCCAGAATATTTAGATATTAAACACAGTTTTATTTTTAAGTATTTGTATCAAATCTGTAATACATTATAATACACCTAATCTACAGTATATTAAGAACTAAGCAACATGCATAGCAAATACTTTACCAACACATCATTTGTTATTCCAGTTAAAACAAATAACTATAAGTAATTCAAAAGCTGCAGCAGTGATATGATCAACAAAACTATTCTGGTTTTTGCAATACTTGATAAAAACCTTAAATGAAGTGTAAATATTTACCGTTATCTTTGCTACTGTTTTCTTCAATTGTCATTTGCTCAGCCAGTTCAGAGAGTGACTCATCAATAGTCTGGCTCCCACGTAACGTTAAGGAAAGTCTCCTCTTGAATTTTTTCATTCTATCAGCAATATGTCTGGCTCAAGGAAGCCTATTAAAATAAGAAAGTTGTTGTTTTAGATATTTAGGATTTAAAGGAAATTATTTCAGCTAAACATTTGTAGTTTAAAGGAAATTATTTCAGTTATAAAGAAATGTATGCTTATTCCTGCTTGTTTATATCAATGTTTACTTTACAAGAAAAGGACATTTTAAAGGAATGGTTACTCTCTGAAGTAAAGAACTTGGTCCTGACCACCAATTTGGATCAGTATTTATTTCAATTCTATCCTGGTAAATCCCAGCCTAGGGCAGGCAAGTTGCAACATAATAATAAAATAACCCATCAAAACAAAATACATTAGTTAGTATTTATTATCACCACTCTAGCTGTTTTAAAAACAAACCCAAGCTCTTATAAGCACAGACTTTGATGGATCTCTAGGAAATAGTAATTTGATAGCTGTGCAGTCACCACCAAGAACATTCATTTATAATCTTTCTATCAGAACTTGGTACATACAAGTTCTTAAGACATGATGATCTTAAGGGCTTGACGAATGGAAGAAATTGTCTCTGAGGTATGTATGGTCCAGCCCAGGGGTCCTCAAACATTTTTTAACAGGGGGCCAATTGAAAGGTGCCAGCGATGGGCATGGGCCGCCAAGGCGGTGTGGGAGGAGGGTGCGCGCGTCCGCATGGTGAGGCAGAGGCTTGCTCATGAGGAGACTGTTTTCTCCGAGCGAGTCCAAAACGATCTCTGCACAAGCAAGCCCCTGCCTCACCATGCACGCTCGCGTGCACATGGCTAGTCCAAAACCTCTATGGCGGGCCGGATAAATGCCATGGCGGGCCGGATTTGGCCCATGGCCCATAGTTTTAGGACCCATGGTCCAGCCAATAGCAGAACAGTATTTCCTGGCAGGGGAGAACATGCAGGAGTTAGACTGGCAGGAGATGGTGCAAGGAAGAGCACTTAACTGTCCTGATGTGCAGTCTGTATCGGGGCAAGAAGCTACTATAGGACAGGATATGGAGAAAGAATGGTTTCGCACTATAGGCAAAGGGGTCTGCTCAGTCTGTATGTATGTGGAACATCTAATTGAAAAAACTGGATTAGGATTAGAAGATGGAGTGAAAATTGGTGGAAGATGCATCAATAATTCAAGATTTGCAAAGGATATCAGATTACTGCCAGAAATTTGCATTGAATTACAACAAGGTCTTATGCAAATGAGAAAAGAAAGTGCAAAAGCAGGAATGCAGCTGAACAGTAAGAAAATAAAAATCATACCCACAGAATACAGAAGTTTACTGTCACCAATGAAGAAACTGAAATTGTGAAAGATTTAACATACATCATTTCAAATGGACAGTATAGGCAAGAAATTTGAAGAAGACTTGAGACTTGGAAGGGCAGCAATAAAGGAACTGGAAAAGATCAAGTGTAAAGACATTTCACTGGAGTTCAAGGCCAAGATCATCTACACCATTATATTCCAGATCACAATGCATGGCTGTGAAAGCTGAACAATGAAGAAAGTTGACAAGAAAAATGTGTATTCAAAACATAGTGCTGCAGGAGAGTTTGTAAACACTCCAGACTGACAGAAATACTAATAAGTGGGTTCTAGATCAAATCAAGCCAGAAATTTCCTTGGAAGGAAACATAACAAAATTGAAGCTGTCATACTTTGGACACATCATGAGAAGGGTAAGACTCACTAGCGAAGACAATCATGCTAGGGAAAGTCAATGGCAGAAGAAGGAAGAAAGGAAGACCAAATATGAGATGGACTGGTTCAATAAAGCCACAGCCTTGAGCTAAACAGTGCTGTCAGGGACAAGACATTCTGAAGGGCATTCATTCACAGGGCCGCCATAAGTCTGAGGCAACAACAATAACAAAATAAATTAATAGAATAATATTAAAGAGTTGAGATGGAGAATAAAAGCCTTTTCCTATTAGAACAACTGTTGTTCATCTTCTCTAAATAGAAATGAGCTCCTTTTACTTAACCAATTGAACATTAGGCACTATTAAAAACAGCAGTGCTAGAAATATGAAGGAAAAGCAAATAAAGAACTGTAATATTTTCTATTAAAATTGGTAAATGTTTAGTTAGTTGTTTCTGTTTGGCCAACACTTTTATTCCTTAAAGAGCTACAACTTGCAGAAAATCATTTTCAATCACAAAGTGCATGTATATGGTAATAATTTTTGCATTAAAATCCACAAAATATGATTTAAATTGCCTATTTCCTATCAGTGTAAATAAGAAAGCCGTAAGAAAAATGCTGCTATTTGTAAGATCTTTTTTTACCTAAATTCATCCCATTTTCATTTATTAGAATTAGATGGAGGAGGAGGTGTAAGCTGCCTTGAGTCCTTTGTAGGAGAGCCAGTGTGGTGTCATGGTTAAGAGCGTGGGACTGGGACTCAGACGATCTGGGTTCTAGTCCCCGCTCGGCCATGGAGCCCACTGGGTGACTTTGGGCCAGTCACAGACTCTCAGCCCAACCCACCTCGCAGGGTTGTTGTTGTGGGGATAAGATGATGGTGGAGGAGGAGGAGGAGGATGATGTAAGCTGCCTTGAGCCCTTTGTAGGAAAAAGGCAGGATAGAAATCGAAAATCGAAAAATAAAAAGGCAGGATAGAAATCCAAAAATAAATAAATAAATAAATAAATAAATCCTGCCTTTCTTCTTACAAGAACGCAAGGAGGCTTACATAATTCTCTTCCTGCTCTCAATCTTATCTTCACAACAAAAAACCTGTGAGGTAGTTTGGGCTGAGAGTCTGTGACTGGCCCAAAGTCACTCAGCTGGCTCCATGGCTAAGCAGGGATTAAAACCCAAATTGCCTGAGTCCCAGTCCTATGCTCTTAACCACTATTCAATGCTGGCTCTCTATAAATAATAAAATAGAGATGTATGTTGGATATATAACAGATTTAGGATTGTTCCCTTGTAGCTATATTTGCTTTCTAGTGTAAACTAATAACATTTTAAGCACACAACAATGTTAAACTGTGTAGTTGCTTGCTGTAGGGTAAAATAAAACCAATATAAAATTGCACAGTTTAATAACTTTGAAAGTCCTATCCCCAATCTATGAAGCACTGCTCTATGATGCACTATTACTTCAAGATGAAGTAAGAATTATTATGATGCTAAACCCTCAATGCAGATGCTTATCTCTTTGAACAATATCCATGATGTGTCTTCCAACTCCTGAAGCTGGAAGAAATCAAAGTTGCATACATCCTGCAATGTTTTTAAAGCCCAAGCTGCATTTTAACAGTCAATCTGGAAAAGTCAAGAGGCTGCAAAGGATGGGCCATGCAACTACATGCAGATTTACAGAAAACAGGTTACTTTCTTCTCCATGCTTTTCGTTCCCTTTAACTGCAAATCTGTCAAAAATCAACAACAGAGCAAGTAGTACTTAATGTTAAAGATAATAGTGTTAAATACCAACTTCTACTGAAAGGCAGTTGTAATAGCATACAAAATAATATACACAGCACCTATAACTACTGAGAGGAAGCGCTGAATATATCAATACAACTGTGACATTAGATGACAAAAAAGTATGTTGTGTGCTTTATTTTACTGTTGAGGATACAGCTGGAAACATTCCATCTGGTTCCTGCTAGACAGTTATTATATTTATATAATTATGTATATTTTTATTAAATTGTTTTATTTTTGTATTATCAGAATAGTAAATAATTCCCTCTGAACAGAAAAAGACAGTGGTGATGATAACCAATGATAAAGAATTCAACCAATGATAAAGAATTCAATTTCACTTATTGTTCATGAGATTGAATTTTATCAGGTCAAATCTTGTTAGCAAAGGATACAGCTCTGAAATGAAAGAAAAACTTGTTAGACAAAGAGATTGTTACCAGTTAGGAAGATCCATGCTGTCAGATAGAGCTTGGTCCAGTTCAAAACTGCTAAGTCAAAGGTGGTTTTCCTATCACTTCACCTTTTGGTCTCTCAAATTTCCACAGTAATTTATACCAACACACCCCAGTACACTCAAATTTCTGATCATAAATGACAAATCTGATCACTGGAACAGCAGGTCCCAAAACGAATAAGAAAAGAATGCATACTAATGCCAGTCTATGACAAGGAATAGAAGAGAGTAATTTGTAATTAGAAACTGAAAGCCAGCTAGTACCTATATGATACATCAGAAATCATCAGTCAGCAACACAAGACTGGAAAACACATGACCAGGGAGAGCTGGCACAATTTGATAATGATGCTACAATTCCAATACAGTGTGGTTCTTCTTCCCAGGTAACAGATGCCACTTTGAAGATCACTTGTGGGCCAAACTTTGTCAGGTAGTCTTGCTGGACTTAGGAGAAACAACTCCCAGAATTCCAGTCTCTAAAGCCACATGCCTGACTTCAAAGGCACTTCAAAAATCACTTCTATTAGCATAAAATGGTCACTCACAATTTTGGTTTTTGGGTTTCTTTGGTTCTTGATCCTGCTGTGGCCTATGCCCATCCTGCACCACTAGGGCCTGATGGTGATGTGCTCAGCCTTGCCCTGAACACTATTTCTTACTCAGAGCCTTCTCATCAACACAGAGAAAACCAAAGTGATGCATCAGTCAGCTCTGAAAGCCCAATATCAGGAGCCCGCCAACACAGTGAAGGGACAAAAGCTGCAAGCAGTGGACCAATTTACATACCTTGGCAGCACCCTTTCCCGTGCAGTGACAATTCACATCGAGGTCAACTGCAGAATCGCCAAGGCAAGCTCTGCATTCGGCAGTATGCAGACCAAAGTGTGGGACCGCTGTGGAATAAGCCTTGTTACAAAGCTTAAAGTCTACCGAGCAGTAGTGCTAACTACCCTGATGTATGCCAGTGAGACTTGGACAGTATACAGGAGGCATGCTAGGCAAATGAACCACTTCCACACGACTTGCCTCTGCAGACTTTTGAGGATCTGGTGGCAGGACAAGGTGCCAGACACAGAGGTCCTCTCCAGAGCAGGCCTGCCATCAGTTCACACCCTGC